GCTGCTTGCTGACGGGGGGGGGGGTGAATAGCTGCCGTTCCACCTCTTCAACACCAACGCACGCCACTACTTGCTCACACGTGCGCTGTGGTGAAGTGGTATACACGCGCGCATGGCTCAGTGAGTGCCCGGGTTCAAGCCCCGGTGGCTGCAATTGCAAGACTATGGATATATAATATATCCGGGAGCGGGGCGGGGCAGCGGGGCACGTGGCGCGTGCGTGCGTGCGTGCGGCGGCCTTGGCCTTGGCCTTCCCAAGATCTGCGAAAGTGAAGTTCCCGCTCTGATACCAGTGTGCCGGACCCGCCGGGATGGCGGTCCGTTAGGATGGAGACGAAGGAGGAGGTAGAGATGGAGCTGGAGGGGACAGCGCAGCTCCGACGCAGACTCCACACGCAAGTACTCCAAGATCTGCGAAAGTGAAGAGTCCGAAAAACAGACTGCAGCTGGGGTATACCCCCAGCGGACTGACTGGACTGGACTGGACTGGCCTGGTACCGACCGTGGTACCGGGCGGGACTGGACTGGACTGAAACAATATACGGCCTGTGGGGTCAGGCCACGGCCTGGTCCCACAGGCCGAACTGGCAAATAGCCAAATAGGCCCTGGCTGTAGGCCAGGGCAGATGAAGGCCCGCTGCAGCCGCTAGTGAGGAGGAAGACGACAGCGGCCATAGCCGCCAGTGTGTGTGTTGTGTATGTGCATAGACGTTCAGGGTACATCCTAGTGTGTGTGTATGTGTGTGTAAGTGGTGTGAGTGCATCTGATGGTGAATAAATTGTTCGAGTGGGATCTTCAGACTGGCGCTCAGACGCCATACGCACAAGATGTGACAAGTTGATTTGAGCTGAGTTTTTGGCCGAAGGCCAATCTCTGAGTCTTCTATGTGGGCGCACTGCGCCATCTCAAGTTTGTTGCTGATGCTACTTGGAGGAAGTTGTTTTGCCATTCAGCACCTGCACGTATGCATGCTGGAAGTGAATTCGAGATAAGTCTGATTGCACATAGTTATTTCAGAAAAAAACAAACAAAAAACGCAGTGCTCTAGTATGATGCCTGTATCAGAGTGAAATTGTAGTTTGTATGGATCCATGATGACGGTGCAGTGTCTGGGGAAGGACTGGGAAAGCTGTCACAGTAGCAGCAGGATACTGGACTGAACTCTAAACCAATTGATTGTCAGCCGCCAGACCGCAGCTGGCAATAACTTGCCCACATGTTTATTAAATGGGAATATTGTATCTGTACCCCACTTAAAGATGGGAATACCATCTATGCTCAGTCCCAGCGCCTAACTTGCATCTATTCCCGGGACTATAACTTTGCATAGTACCCGACTTTTCCCTGCGCGAAATCGTAGGCAAACCCAGTCCTGCGGGCCGTCGGTTGCAGACCATGAAATTGCACTAATGCTGAGGAATGGCCTGGCAAAATTGTTGGTGTACCCACACCCAGGGGCAGGCCTTGCATGGCGGACCACAAAAGTATGCTCATGCCCGCCACGCGGACCGTTGTGGCCCAACGGCTCGTGGGTATGAGCATAATTTCAGTCATCCAGTAGTAGGGCATATGAATAATTTGGCCGGTCCACCTCAGTCCATAATTTGTGCCTACAATTTTGCCTGGGTATGTCCATAATTTGTGCATTCCGGTAGCTGTGCAGGGATTGAGCCCTTCGCAAGGCCCTTCTCGGGCATGCAAACGTTCTAAGGCTCAGGCCCCCAGCAAGCCTCGTCCCGCGGTAAGTGAAGGCGGGCCTATACATCCACAAAAGGCCTATTTTAGTATGCTAGACATTTTCCATACGTGGGGTACCAGACAGTTGCAGCACACCAGTTGGATACAGAGCAACGTGAGCCTTCCCTGGCTCCGTCCAGAAGTAGCAGCTGCATCGTACAGTTGAGCCCCTGGGCAAACGCAGTGAGAGGCCGACGCACCGCGGACCAATGAGAATGCAGCATTGTCGTCACACATCTACCGCGAGCCAATGAGAATGTGGCAAACACTTGGAGCCTGGAGGGCTACCTGGACGTGAGACCCAGGCCAGTATCTGAAACTGGGCCTGGGCGCAGTCACTTTGGGCCAACCCGAAGCTACTGGGCCCCTACACGCCTGGCCCAGAACAGCCAGCGAAAGGGCACACTTTGAATATAGGAAAGTGAGTGCCCAGGGGCACGACATTCTGGCCTTAGCGGGCATTGCGGCCAAGCTGCTTCTTTGTTGTGTGATACTGCACTAGGCAGGCAGGCTGGGGCGTACGCGGGCGCTTAAAGGTGAGAGGGCGCTGCGGTGGCAGCGGGTGCACAGCAGCCATCGCTGGGCTGCGCGTGTGGTGGCAGGTGACGGTGATGGTGGTCTTTGGGTAGGAGGCGCATGCAGAGGGGAGACAGGGGGTGATGAGGCGAGGTGTGAGACCCGCACCTGGTGTATGCTGGCAGTCTGCATTGGTGGTGACATCACGTACATTGGTATTCAACTTCGATGTGCTCCTGTTGGATGAACGTAGATAGGCTAGGTAGACTTAGTGTAGGCTGGGCGCTGGGTGCCAGACAGTATGAGCGACCTTGGATACTATCTCCGTGTGGCCGGAGATCGTCGGCACATTGTATTGCTCTTGTTTGGATGGTATCTTGGTGCGTTGTGCTCTCTGCTTGGTATATGACTATCTGGGCTACGTCGTGACTTTGCAATTTGGACGCTCTCTGCTTGGTATATTGCTCTCACTCGTATTCCTTGCAGTTGGTTATAACTGCAATTCTGTGGTACTGACCTGGGTCCACCACAGTCCTGGGCATGCAAATAATTTCCACAGGCCGTTCTCTGGGTATAGCTGCAAGTTGGCACTGGGACTGGGTATAGTGGGTATTCCCATCTTTAAGTGGGGTACAGATGCAATTTTCCCTTATTAAATATATGTTGCTGTTTGTGGGCTGATGCCCTTCCTGAGCATGGACAATCTCACAAGTGGACTTGGATTTGATTGTGTCTGTCATTGTCTGTCCTCGCCTGCGCAAGGATGACACACATAAATCGAGAAATTGTCCAAGAAAAAAAAAAAAAAAAAAACTTGTTCAATTTATATTTCTGCATAACATAGTTTTTTTTCCAGAAGGTTTTGAATTTATTATTATTTTTCAATGGCCGTGGCCCGCGGCCATGGCCACGGGGTCACGGCCTCGGACGCGCGTGGCGGCCTCGGGGGAGGATTCATAGTCCCCCACAACCCCTCCCATACAGCGAGGATACAACATGTGTCTACGAGTGGGACGTACAAGAAGCTGTCGCCAAGACCGGTGACCCTTATCATATCCCGACTGAAACACGGTGCTCTGGATTTGTCAATGCGGGCTTTCTGATCATTGATACTCATTTCCCTCCGTGCTCTGTTTTGCTTCCGTTTAACGAGTTCATTGTTATCCCGTGGCTGACAGTTGCTATCCACTGGACTAGCACCATTTGCAGTGATTGTCGCCAGACAGAACGCTTTCAAGCCCGAGGGTTCAACTATCGGACACGTGGCGAGGAGCTTAAAGAGAAGGCAGTCAGACTGTGGCCCTCCGACTCGGACTCCGAGCTCTGTGAAGAGCACTGTCGGTCCCTTGTTCGAAACCGAGATCCGAAGTGTGTTCTCCTTTTCAGCCACAAAAAAGACGCCACGCTGTGCGCGGCGAAATTCAAAGATATTTTTTGGATTAGATAGTCGCTGAGTAGGGACTGTTCTCTGGTTTTCCCGATTTCGTTTGTTGCTCCGTATCTGGGACCACTTCATTCGACTTGTATATCTCGGCTTCCTGATATTGAGCCAGACTGTCCAGTCCTTCCATCTACGTTTCTGACCTTCTCCCAAGCTGCAGAAGACTTGTGGTCCAATGCAATCCGTGGTGAAGATTGCAGGTTGAAGTGATTTTGTTCGTCTCTTTGTTTGGTTGTATTTTATGCGTTTATTTGTTCTTTCCCATGCTGCATGTATTGCCGTTTAAACCACCAGTACCTTTCCCCGTTTGAAAAACAAATGCCCGCCAGTTAACACGGCCGGTGGGCAGCCTTGGCACTACCAGGGCGAAATGGCTGGAGTCGCCACCCAAATTCGAGCGCGTGTTGTTTCGTTTTTCTTTGGCGTGCAGCGAGAG